AAAATTTATCATAACATTTAATTTTCGCACTCTACGAGAAACTGTTGTTTTACACCGCAGTTATGAAGGTAAAGTACTTAATGCCTACGACTATACAACTCTAAGCTTGTCAAGTTTAAACTACCAACATTAGCGTTATTCATAAGTCAGAAGCTTTTCTAACAACTCTAAGCTTTATTACTAAACTTTTTGCAGTCTTTACAACTAAACATGGAACAAGATGGTCGTTAAATGTTGTAAAGTTGCAAAACTCTCCTATCGTCTCTGACCCATAGCTACTTTGTCACTGAGATTGAAATACTTAAAGTTAAGCCTACATACTCTTCATTTTTTATTTTCATTTTTCGCTCAGTTTTTATAGCAACTGCAGAGGACAACATTTGCGCTCTAATTATCACGTGATACTTCTTTGCAGCTTTCAAGCCGTTTGATACATATAACACTCTGCACAAACAGCAAATTGTTTCAATACGACACAGTGTAAACTTTCCAGTCGATTCACTAAAGGCATTTTTGAAAAAAGCATTTTTTTCACTGCATTGACTGTTAATTAGTAACCATTTGAAGCTTTTATTCACATGATAACCGCGAAGTTTTTTTATGGTCAGCAAGTTTTTTTCAACTGCCAAAATAGGTCAAAATGTGGTCTTAGAAAGGGCATAACCCTTATAACTATTACCGTAGCAGTAACTTTTTTTCTTCTCGTACTTTTTTTCATTTACAACCATCGCTTAAAAGTCGTCATTGAAATTTTTTAAAGTGCAGTGGCAAAATATTTGCTATTAAGTTTTAGTCTTAATTCAGTAACCTGATTAATACCTTTTATTTTTCCAAATTTTTGTATCTTTTTTAGGTAAAAAATACGTTTTCATTTTTCACTCTTTTTACCAGAGAGTTATTAAAAGTAGCAAAACAGTCTAAGTGAGAAAAGCCGGAGGTATACTCTTAAAGCAATTTTTAAAGTGTAATATGAATGAAAACTTTGAATTTTTTCTTCTTTCTTTTATAACTAGAATTGGTCGCATTTTTTTTAGACATTGACGCCAGTTTAACAGTTAATAGACTTTCTTCTTGTGTTTGAACAAGGTATAATACTTCATCAAAAGAAAGAATGCAAGAAATGTGTGAACAGTAAAGTTAAACCGTTTTTTAACAATAGAACAGACAAGATTATAGTGATCAGAAATACTGAAAGTTTTTATTTTTTTGCTTGTGATAGTGATAAGCAAAATTTAGCACTGAGCAAAGTTTAGAATTATAACATCTAATTTAGTGTTTTCGCACTCTGTCGTTGAAACTGCCGAAAGTTTTCTTTTTTTTTTTTTT